ACGTCTGTAGATTGTTGCAGCGTTTTGTCCGTGGATTGCTATATATTGTCTTGACAACACGCCCTTGCACAACATTGCGCCTGGTGTGGTGGGTGGGCTACATCCCATCCACCACAACCCGCTGAGCAAGTCTGCGAGAATAATAGAGAAAAGAGGGGAACAACAAGGAACCAACCAAATTGAACTCCTCAACATCAACAATCAGCAAACGCCCTTTTGACTCGGGCGCTTGAGCCAAGAAACGTCGGAAGGCTACTGTAGACCCCGACCCAGGTGGATACAGGATACTACTTTCTACCTAGACTACAGGCTCTACCTACAGCTATTGCGATTAGCTATAGGTTGCATTTGGATATATTCACTGTACAACTACTTGGAGGGTTGGTATCATAGCTACAGTATGGAGTGAACTATAAGTAGACTATGCAGTGGGGGTAATGGGGTTGTAATATTTCTACTCCCCCCTACCCAGTCCCACTCTTGGAGACGTCTACCTACCAAGCTACTTAGGGCGCGTGGCCGCAGCCCCTTCCTTGGATCGGAGTTCACTACTTAGGTCTGTTCGGATGCCTAACAGGCGAAGCGCTGGAGCCCATTTTTGAGGCGGCAGTGCTTTCGTGAAGATATCTGCGGCCTGATCATCTGTCTTACAGTACTCCAACTCAGCAGAGTCATCATGGAATACTTCTTGGATACCGGATAAATTCACTTTATGGGTATGGGTTATGTGTCTAAGCTTTGGGGAATATCCTTTACGTACTACCAGGATGGTAGCTTGGCTTTCCTCAAGGACTTTAAGCACAGCAGTGCGGCCAAGGAGTAACTCCCATAATTGCAGGGCTGGGAGGCCCTCTTGGTATAGGGAGTGAGCCAGTGATACCACTTCAGATTCGGTGGTTGATCGTGAAGTGGAAGTTTGGCGCTTACTGACCCATGCGAGAGGAAAGAAGGAGTTGGGTCCAACCAAAACTAAATACCCTCCGGATGTGGATTTTCCAGTAAGCCTATCGCCGGCGAAGTCTGCGTCTACATATAAATGTAGTTCTAGAGCTTCGGGGCTGTCTTTAATGGTTCCTACAAGCCGATAGTGGGGCGTAGAGTCTATGTATTGGATTAACCTTGGCAACCTTTTATCGTCCCCCCTGGACCAAGACTGCACTCTTGTGGCTAAATCGTTTATGGGTTTAATGATATCGGGCCTTGACAGTCTACCCAACCATAACCCTACCCTTCCAACAGCAAGGAAAACAAAGGTCGTTCCCATAACAACCTTTTATTGACCATGTTTTTGGCTTGGATCCAGTCATGTTCCTCAGGCTTCAGCACCTTTTTGACCCATGTTCCCAGCTATCCACGGTTTCGGGACAACCTTCTGGCCGCTTCTGCGTTCAACCTCAATTTCAGGGGTCATGATGAGACAACATGGTCAAAAGTGCACTTGGCTCGATGCCAAAAAAAACATTGTAACATGTTGGAAATTCAGTGGTGAATAGCAAATGGGTCACCATGATGCAGCATTGCGCAGCTAGCCAAATAAGCCAAGTAGCCGCTTGATTTTCAGGTGTGTATGCCAGATCCTGGAGAAACAAACGCCCGAAAGTGAAATTAGTTGTATTTGTTGCAGTGATCTGGTGTCAGTCTCTCTCTCTCTCTCTCACTCACTCTCACTCTCACTCTCACTCTCTCTCTCGCTCTCTCTCTCTCAGTCTCTCTCTCTCTCTCTCTCTGTCTCTCTCTCTCTCTCTCGCTCACTCTCTCTCTCTCACACTCTCTCTCTCTCTCTCACTCTCTCTCTCGCTCGCTCTCTCTCTCTCTCTCACTCTCTCTCTCCCTCCCTCTCACTCACTCACTCACTCACTCACTCTCTCTCTCTCTCTCTCCCCATCGCTGTCTCTGGTTTCAAGATGTGTCAAAAAAATCCGGCCTCAGTTTGCTGCACCGCATGATCCAGCCATATCGTTTGGTTGGACACGCTCGCAGGTATGTACCTTACGTGGTTTGTCCATCTCAATCAAGCGACAAGGTAAAACGTAAATTGTGAGCGACACATTCACCAAACTGAAAGCAGGCGTCGCACATATGGTTGGAAGGCTAGGGTACATATAATATAATGTATAATATAATATAATATAATTAATGTATATCATGCCTATATTATATAGCTAATATACATCCTAATTGCTAATAGTGTGGATGATTAAAAAAATATTTCAAAATCATGATTGCATCATTGATTGCAACGCCTTAAAATAAGATTTGATCCTGTCAGCTCATGGGTATCAACTGAGACTCGTGATGTGATTTGGGAGTACGATATTGTAGCCATGACACGATATCATGATTTGACGATCATCATTGTCTTCTTTATTATCGGGGTGCCAATTCATTATGTGAAGCTGTGCAGGAGTTTTAGAGCGGTCTAACTTTTGTGCATAGGCCTCAGGCTTTAAAATGCACAAAAACAATGAAAACTGGCTCTGCAATAAAATGCCTTGCCACCAAATTCATGCTTGAATGTGCATCCAACATCATCCAATTTCATCCAATTTTGAAGACCCTCAGAAACGCATCTTTAAAAAGAGGTCAGGAAATCCATTTTAGATAGGGGTATTTTAGAGTGAAGGTGCCCAAATATTTAGTGTGTTTTTTTTTTAATAGCATTCTATAGCAACAAAATACGGTGGCATTCTTTCGTGGCAATTCCTTAAAAATCCTT